ATTGGAGTTGCAGAAATAAAGACCACAGAGATCCCTTCAGGATCAACCATAGAACCTTCATTTTCTACCCTGATAACAGCCAAAAGGGCAGTCAAGCTAGCATGCAACGATGAATGGACACAGTTCCCTGAGGACCTATCACTGTCTTCAAAGCATACAGAGCCATCAAGATTAGTGAAGCCTCCTGTTTTACTGAAGGAAGAACACATCTTTGTCAGTTTGACCAGGTAGTATAGCTGTCTCCTGTGACCATCTTCACTGCCCCGCAGAGATGCTGAGTGCTTAGGAAGCTGCTTTGTCTATGATGTAGGGCTGTCTTTCTCAGACCAGGCTGGATGCAGAACATGGGTCAAACAGGGTCCAATAGGTTCTGGCTGGTCACTCATTCTGGTGTTAGGGTCAGCGTTCAAATTGGTTTGTTGTGTGACAGAGACTGGTTGTTTCCTCCTTTCTTCTGACTAAATAGCCAGAGTACATTTCCCAAACTCTCTTGCAATTAGCTGTGGCCACATGACTGAATTCTAGTTGATGGATCATGATCAGAAGTGATGTGCCCCACCTTAAGCCTGACCCCTGAAAACCCTCATAGGCTACTATCCATGATCTTTTTCTTTCCATGCAACCCTGGGAATCATGCACTGAAGATGTCAGTCACAAGATGGTAGGCATCATGAATCACTATATGGAGGAGAAGCAGCAGCCAATCACGGAAACCCATTTTGGACTTTTCAGTAGAAGAAATAAGTTGTAGAGACTTATCTGTTACAGCAGCTAGCAGTATCTTCAGTGCAAATGTCCAAGATCTGTTCTGCAAGAGGATGGCCTTTCTTTCATCTTATGCAGATTGTTGTTTTTGTTAACTACTGAGCACTTGGTCAGTGAGTGAGTATCAGGCCCTTACATGGATGCTTTGGTTCACTTCTATCACCAACCCTTTGAGGCCCTTACTAGCATCATCTCCACTTGTAAGATAAGAAAATTAGGTTCGGACAGGTTAAATCACTTGCCCAAAAACACACAGCCAGTAAGTGGCAGAGCCATGGTTATAATCAGGTCAGTCTGGCTTTGGACTTCTAGTTATTAATCATAATGTTCAATTGTCATTGGCCTCATAGTCACTCTCCCCCTCATCATGGGTGCCTGACTGGAGCTTCCCACACCTGCGTAGATCTTGGAAGAGCAGGATGGACCTGGCACATGCATGGGTTTATCTGAGACTGCACAACTATGAGGTGATTTTCCAGAGGGTATTTGGAAACCCACCACATGTTGCTAGATGTCATACGTCTTCATGGCTTAGTCAGAATTCTTTCATAGCTGTGGCTGCAGCTTGGGGAACTATAGTTAGAAGTGCAGGAAGAACATGGGGAGGGGTAAAGAACAGAGTCTCTGCAAGACAACCCCATTGGTGGGGAGGCTGCTTTATTGGACAGGAGCCTGACTCAAAATGAGAAGTGAAGTTCTTCTGCCAGCAGGGTAGCACCAGAGGAGCTGTGATATTTCAGGCCTTTCTTGGGATGAGTTGACTACAGTGCCTCACATCGAGTGGCTTGCAGTTCACTCAAGTTGGAGAGGCATGTGCTGGGATATATACCATGGGAACATGGAGCAGTGAGCAATTCTAGGCTGTGGTCACATCCACAAAGTCTCCGTGGCAGAGGGAGGCTCTGTCAGTTCAGCAAGTTGGCAAGAGGACAAAGTGCATTCCAGACAGAAGAACTGCATGTTCAGAGACATCCTTAACACAGTGTGACAGGCTCAGGAAGTCAGGGGTGGCCTGAGGTATATGAGCCAGGGCAGGGGTGGCAGGAAGCAGTGCCGTGGAAGTAGCTGAAGGATGCTGTTTGTGGCTAGTGTAGGAGCTCAGGCCAATGGGGAATCATCAGTGGGCAGAGCTGCCTCTTGTGTCCATGGATAAAGACTGGTGCAGTGAGAATAGGTCAGAAGTAAAGAGGCTGAACCAACACAGGGAGGGTGAAAAGAAGAGGCCTGAGAGGTTCTGCATGCAGTTTAGCAGAGCTTGGCTAATGCTTGGGTGCTGTGGGTGGGCAAAGAAGTTGGGACCAGGTTGACTGCTGCTTGGCTGGCTTGGTACATGGCATTGCCACTGATGTGGCTGAGAGACCCAGAAGAGTTGAAAGAACCTGTGGGACTTCTAAGTGGGCCCTTGCCATCAGTAGTCAGAACAGAGCTCTGAGGCTCAGCAGCCAGGTGTTGCACTGGCATGGAGACCTTGGAGTCACTGGCATGTTGATGTAAAGACTTGGGTAGAGTCAGAGGAGGGAAAGACAAGGAGCATCACTTGTAAGGAGTCAGTGTGTCTAGGACCTGCCAGGTCCCTGAGTGTTAATGGCTCCTCCTTGGAGGAGAGCACTGTCCAGTTCCCGCACAGGCAGCCCCAGACATGCCCAGTGGGTCAGCTGGGAAACAAAGCTGAAGTCTGTGCTCTAGTAGGAAAAAGGGTTGAGCTGCTCTTAATCATCACTGACCACAGGCCTCCCCTGCTTAAAAGAGGGGAGACATTCTGATTTAAAAGCTCTTAGTGCAAAGGTATCAGGTTGTTGGTCTGTGAAACACATTTGTAGTAAAGCAAAAGACTGTTCAGAAACGCAATGACAGCTTTCCCTGAAGACACAGGCACATACACATGTACACATACCATTTCCTGCCCAGAGTGAGCACAGGCACCATTTTGCAGGGAATGTTTTTAAATGAAGCTCATCACAGCAAGGAATGGAGCCAACTGATTGTTGCAGAAAAACCTAGACCCTTCTGGGTCTTTCTAGCCCTCAGTGAGCAGTTAAGACTTGGTCACCTTGACAGGGTGTTCATGACAGGGGCCTTTACTCTTCTAACATCACTCCAGAACCAGGGTCTTCACCACAGCAGCCCCAGAGTGCCCAGAATTCTGTCTGCTGCCCTCACAGCCATCTCTGTCAGGCAGATGATTTGAGATGCTCCTGGGGTCAAGAGACGTGTTAAGTGTGGACCATGGCATGTCCTGACACTGTCACTAGTGTAGGTGTAGCATCAGAGTAACAGGGACTCCTATTCCTGTGGCCTCCAGTGGTCACAGCATTGACTGCTGGAGCCAGAAGGCCCCAAATACCATGGAGCCTGACCTCAGTTTATCAATACATGGGAGACCTGCCCAATTGGTTCAGTGAGCATGCATGTTCGTAGGACTTTAGGGGGCTCGAGAAGAGGCCAAGTCCCCTCATATACCCTCTCCCAGCACCCCACACTGGCCCTTTGAAGCATATATCACATTTGTCTTTTAAATGACTAGGGGGTTATTTATTGTCTTTTTTCCCACCAGTTCTGCAGGGACCACATCTGCCCAGCAGAGTCTCTGAAAGTGAATGCATAAAGGAACAGGATGCTCTTAGTAAACATTCGAGAACTTAGGTGGCATTACAGTAGGGATACAGTTAGGGGCACCCCTTCACCTGCCTGAAGTCTGATGGGAGAATGGGCCCATGTACATCGATGCTGTGTGCAGCACATGGGGCCCTGAGGATGGAACGGCCAGATCCCAACATTTGGAAGGACTGGCAGAGGACAGAGCAAGTGTGAGGGATAATGGAGGTCCCAGACAAAGGGAATAGCCACTGCCTAGGCAGGGAGAAAGGAAGTGGAAGAGCATTTGGGGGGAACCTTGTGTGGCTCCCTGTGTTCAAGTTTAGACCACAAGGGGCCCAAGGCAAAAATGGACAGGTGTGCCAGGCCTAGATTTTTAGGGCATTTTGTAGCAGGCAAAGAGTCCTGGTTGTGTCTTGAAAGTTGTGGCAGCCACAGAAAGCTTTCAGGCCAGGACCAGGACATGTTCAGTTGTGTGCGTACCCAGATTGCCCCACCCATGGGGTAGAGGGTAGATTAGAGGAGAGGGGGCTGTGGTAGGGAGACATTCTCAGGAAACGTTTGTGACCACTTGCTTAAAATAGTGATGACCAGGATCCCATCCTGGGGGTGGAGATAAAGAGCTCACAAGAGGTGTAGAGGAGGGTTTTCCTCTTGACTGGGTGGCTGTTTGGATAGGGACTGGAAGCAAGGAAGGAAAAACACCTCTCTCTCTTCTCTAAAGATTGGCCCATCTGGCAGACTGGAAGTGTTCAGGTTGCCTCTTACTGCAACCTGGCTATATACTGTACTGACTCCTGTAAGCTGTTCTTGCCTCTCACAGATAAAGAATGATAAGATAGGCCAGGTGCAGTGGCACATGCCTGTAATCCCAGCACTTTGGGAGGCCGAGGCAGGTGGATCACAAGGTCAACAGATCAAGACCATCCTGGCCAACATGGTGACACATCGTCTCTACTAAAAATACAAAAATGAGCCGAATGTGGTGGCATGCACCTGTAGTCCCAGCTACTCAGGAGGCTGAGAAAGGAGAATAGCATGAACCCAGGAGGTGGAGGTTGCAGTGAGCCAGGATCACGCCACTGTACTCCAGCCTGGTAACAGAGTGAGATTCCATCTCAAAAAAAAAAAAAAAAAGGAAGAAGAATGATGAGATAGAGATACTGCTGTCATCAGAGAATCTAGGTACCTGCCTTTACATCATCTTTCTAGGGGCAAGTATCATAGTTCTCTTTTCTTTTATTAAGCCTTCTGTAAATTTATCGGCCCTGGTCTCAACTGTATGAAAATGCAATTATTAAACAAGTGTATAGAATGTGGCCAAGAAATCCCATTTTCCTTTTCATCATGTGGCATAATGGCAAGGCACTTAAGAGCAGCCATGGTCAGTGTAACATTTAAATGGAAGTGGCAAATAAAATCAATGTCATGGTATAAACTATGCAGAGCCAACCAAGCCTTTCTCTTCACAGATCAAACTGTTCCAGCAGAGTGCATCATGTGGACTCAGAGGGCCACACAGCTGCAGACAGTGGCATCTGCAGGCAGACCCCATTCCTTCCAGGGGACCAGCGTGTATCTGGAAAGGGGACACGTGCTGTCCCCGGCTACCCTGACCAGTGTGCCTCTTGCCTTCACAGTGTGCTCACTGATCCGCCTCCAAGATCACCGTCATGTCGAGCCGCGGTGGGAAGAAGAAGTCCACCAAGACGTCCCGGTCTGCCAAAGCAGGAGTCATCTTTCCTGTGGGGCGGATGCTGCGGTACATCAAGAAAGGCCACCCCAAATACAGAATTGGAGTAGGGGCACCCGTGTACATGGCTGCCGTCCTGGAATACCTGACAGGTGAGTGTGCCTGAGTCAACCTGGACATTTCTTATAGTTCTCCAAAGACCACTTTCATTTCTTTTATTTTGAAATATCTCAAACCTGCAGAAAAGTTACAAGAAGAGTACAAGGAACATTTTCACCTAGATTCTCTAGTTAACATCTTGCCTCATCTTTATCTCCCCCACCTGTGTGTGTGCATGCGGGCATACATGCGGATATGGTGGATACTTCTGTATTTATTTTTGGCTGCTGTATAGACCATTTTGAAATTTCCTCAGTTGTCCCAATAATGTCCTTGATAATTTTGTTTGTTTTCTTTACTGATCCAGGATCCATTTCAGGATCATACATTGCATTTCACTGCCAGTTTGTTAGTCTTACTTAATTTTGAACAATTCTCCAGCTTTTAAAACAATCTTTCATGGCATTGATACTTTTGAAGAGTCCAGGCTAGTTGTTTGGCAGAATGTCCTCCAATCTGGGCTGGTCTTAGGATTAGACATAGGATGAGCATTTTCTTAGGAGAATGGTATCAGAGATGCTTCATCCTTCTCTGTGTGTCACGTCTGGAGGCATCAACTTGGTTCGTCCCATCACTGGTGATGTTCCACTTGCTCATTGAGTTAAGGTGGTATCTGCTGGATTTCTGTACATCCCAGACCACGGTATTTCACCCAATGGCTTCAGCAATCCTTGATGATTTTACCTGAATCTGTTATTACAGTGGTGGTTATAAAATAGTGGGGTTTTTTTTTTCCCCATTTCTTGGTGGTTATAAAATAGTGATTTCAAAAATTTCTTTTATTTCTGTTATTTCTTAGTTGGCATTCTTCTGTAATAAAAGCTCTCCCTGTGCCCTTCCTTTTTTTGTTTTTTGTTTTTTGAACTATAAATGTTGGTTCACAGATTTTTTTAAAATTTAGTAAGTTATTTCACTACTAACTTTAATGCTTACATTACCTCAAATTTGATCTTCAAGCTGGTTCTGATGTCCTTTTGCCATGTCTCCATCAATTTCCGTATATTTCCTTGCCTTATAACACAGTAAGGTATTCCAGCCTCACCCTGGACTTCCCTTGCCCCAGTCTTGGACTCAGCCATCTCTCCAACGGGTCCTTGTTCCTGTTCACAAATGCAATCTTATTTGTGATTTCATAGCACTTTTGGGAAGCCAACTGGGAAGGGAGGGAGACTACCCCCATTTTTAGTGATGGAAAAACCAGGCCTCAAAGCATAAAGGACTTCTCTGGGGTTTGTGTACAACCTGTAAGGGGTTGAGAAGGGACCCAAATCCTGCTGTCCTGTCGTAATGCTTTTACTATGTATTGCTTGAGACATGATCAGGTGGGTCGATAGGTGCCAGGAAAGAGTACTCTGATTCTTGCAGCCACCTTTGCTACAGCCAGAAAGGGGCGACTCAGCAAGACAGGATGCTTCTCCCAAAGTGATACATCCACGCAGCACAAGAGCTGGGTTGTTTCCTGCACTCCCAGCTCTCTCAGTAAGGCAAGGTCAAGGGTTTTCCCATAGCAAACACAGTCATCAGGAAGGTAGTTTTTGTGTTCTGTTGAAAGCATCTGGGCATGAAAAGTAATAGTGTTAGACTTAAGAATTTGTACATATTTTGGGACTTTTGACTTTCTGCTTAGCAAAGACTTTTATAGGTAGCAGGCCTGCTAATGTGAGCTAAGCATGATTTTTCAGTGTAGATGAGGAAACAAGCCCAGAACTTAGGTGACACATACAGGAAAGCTATGTATAACATTGGCAGTCAGCCAGAGAGACTGGGAGAAGTTGCTAGATAGGAAGCAGAAGACATTCTAGTTCTTGCCTGGTTAGTGTACATGCTGTGTGACCTAAAGGGAGACACCTAACTTCTTCGGACCCCAATTTTCTTACAACTCGGATGGAGTCAACTGTCCCTACTCCAACTCCAGGATGCTGTGAGGGCCAAAGGGGCTTTGAGCATAATGGGAAAGCTAATGTGCTACACAAACTGAGGCAGCCCCTGGCTCCCAAATGCCATGATGCCTGTTCCTGAGGTGTTCAAAGACACTATCATTAAGTCAAGTACAACCTCAGTTTCATTTCTTCCATCTAGCTTTCTCTTCTTTTCTGAAGTGCATGATGGGAATACCATTGCTTTGTCATATCTCAGGCAACTACTACCTGTGCTGCACATAAATCTGTGTTTTCCTGGTCTGGGCATGGCTAGTTTTGAATCTGAGCCCAGTGCTCCTGAGGTGCATGCCAGCGGTCCATTCTTAGGAGGGCTAGAGACCTTGACTCAGTGGCTCACATATCTATCATCCATATCCCCAGCTATCGTAGGTATTGGGAGAGGTCACAGCAGGGCATGAGACTGGCCAGGACAGCCCATCACTATCACTGGAAAAGTAGCTCAGAGCAGATCCTTACTCTGGCATCAGCCACATCAGCTCTTGTATCTTAAAGAATAATGTGTATTTTTAGGTTTTATGAAGACCTTCCAGCAGGCCTATTCTTGGCTGAATCTGAGGCATTTCCTCTGCCTGCATGTGGCACTGAGACATTGGCATGACCGTGCCTGCCCCAACATGGAGTCAGGTTCAACTGACCTCAGGAGGATGTCCTGAGCAGTTAGTACCATGCCCAGTCACTGCTTGGTCACTTATGTCCTGTTTCATGATGGGAGAGGAGCCAAACTCTGTGGCCTTATCTAGTGAGAATACTGCTCTGTTCCACCCCTCAGAACAGTCTACACACCCACACTGATTGTCCTCAGAAGGTGGCCAGCCCTTAGCCTATTGGGTGGAGATGTGGGAGCACATGGATGTTAGACATTCTGGGTATCTGCCCACTTAGAACTTTGTTGGTCCTTGAGTGAGAAGGAAATGTGTCCAGGCCCTCTTTCTGCTCTGCTCTTCAATTTTGTTTCCCTAGAGGCCTCTTCTCATTCACTCCACATGCTGTCTGCCAGGCACCAGGCTAGGCTCTGTGTGAGAGCACAGGAGTAATCAGAGCAGAGTGATCTCTGCTCTGTGGAGCTCACACTCTTGTCTGGAAAAGAGACAGCCAGCCAATCTAGACAGTTTAGAGACTGAAAGTGCTATGAGGAGTGAAAGCAGGTCAAAGGAGGGCCCAGGCTTCTCGGGGGCTTGGAGATGAGCTGGCCAGGGAAGGCTTCTCTGAGGAGGAGAAATCAGCTGAGACCTGGAGAGGTGCCAGCCAGCCCTGCAAGAAGTGGGAGAGGGGCTCTGGCAACCACTTACCTGTCTTGACGTGCCTGCTGGGTGCCAAGTCAGCCCCTTTCCAGAACATAGGGAAGCTACAGAGAGAGGTTCGAGAAGCTGGACTACCAGATTTCGGGCAGCTTAAGGTCTGGTCAAGGATGTGACCCCAACATTGTGCTCCAACACAAGGCAGACGTCTGAGGGAAGTCCCAGCTACTCAAGCTCTCCTTGCTGAGAGCTGTGATGTGCCTGGCATAGCTACACACCGACTCATCTCCACTCCCAAAGTGCTTCCTGTCCAGACACGGGTATAGGCAAGAGAAAGGTTGTGGTGATGCAGGACCACCCATGCTGCAAGCGGGGAACAGGATGGCAAGTGGGTTTCTGGAGAATGCTTCTTAACGAGTTACCAGAGCTGCCCTGCTTGTTTAGGTGTTGCCTGAAGTCCCTAAGAAGGGATTGTTTTCTTCTCTGCATAGCCCAGATTCTTACAGGTGGCATCAACAATTGCAGGCATGGTGATGGGGTGTGCCACATGGATGTCCATTTGAAGTAGCTGGGCCAGGCCTCCTACCTTCCAAAGATACCTGTGGGAGAGATGGGAGGGGTCTAGATGCTCAGGAATTGCTAAGAGGACTGCTGAGCTGCAGGGCCAACCTAAGACTAGGTGCTTCTCAAGCAGGGAGCTGACATCTTGTAGGTGACCAGCTCTGGGGACCACTTGGGGTCCACTGTGTTCTAGAACTGGGCAGTTTAAAGTATGGGCACTGGTGCCAGAGCTGCCACTTCTTACTTGTGGCTTAGGCAAGTCACTTACATCTCCATGCTACGGTTTTATACTCTGTAAAATGAGGATCACAGTAGCTGTCTCACAGGGTTCTTACGAGAGCATACATGTGAAGTCCTTATTCCATGCCTGCACATTATAAGTGCCCAGACGTTAACTATTACTAAGCTTAGGGTTAAAGTATGACAGAGGAAGGGAGTCTACTGTAATCCTGTTCCTTTTCTTGTCTCTTATCAATGACCACAGCCTCCATACTCCTCTAATAGAGACCCAGCGTCCTCTGATAGCAGCTGCACCAGTTTGAAGCTGCCTGTAGGTACTTGGCCAATCCTTGTGAAGTTTATGGAGCCAGCTCCTGACCTGGGGAAGAAGCAGGGTCCCGTGAGTGATCTTACAGCCACTTTACTGACTGAATGAGGCCAGCCCTTGGGCTTGACTACATCCTGATATAAAACCCCAAGGAAAAGAGATGGTTGTTAGAAATATATCTTGCCATCTGGTTTTGGCTAACAATGTGATTGTCCTCATCCTGAGTTTTGGCTTGTTTGACTTCCAGTCTCTAACTCAGGTCAGATGTTGCATATCCCTTTAGTTTTGGTCATTGGGCCACAACCCATCCCTGCCTCCATCTCCTAGAAGTGGAGAGAGAGCCCACTCCTGTCAGCAGCACATCCTGTTACACTTACAGTCATTTCAGCCAGCATCCATCTCATTTGGCATTTCTCATGTGGGAAGCAATCCTACAAGCTTGGAAGATTGAGGTAGAGAGAGCCTGCAGTTGGCTTTGTCACTTACCTTGAAAATAAGTCTCATACCTCTTTACCACCTTCCTATCCAGGACACTACAGTGTGTCCTGGACTCAAACAGCTAAAAATTGAGCAGGAAGAAGAGGACAGTCAGGCTTGGCTCTTTGATGCTCCAAGACCCTAGGAGCCCCCACGTCCTTGCTTGTTTGCATGAGTGCACCTCCATTAGACTATCTGATACATCAGGCCAGAACCCAGCTAATGCTTGC